AATCTTCAGAATTTCAAAATGTTTGGAACATCGAAAACTTTGGAGTTTCGAAAACCTCATAATATCGAAAACTTGTTGTTTGAAAAACATCAGAACGTCGAAAACTTTTTTAAAACTTTGAAAAGCATAGATTCATCCAAAGATCCTATAATGTAATGCTTCGACGAACCGCGAAGAATGTCAAGCTTCGAAATATTCTGAGTTTTAAGAAAGTCCAAACTTTGAAAAATTCAAAACATCAAGAAATTCTAAAATATCGAAATCTTTCAGAACATCGAAATCTCAAACATCGAAATCCCAAATTTCGAAATTTCGAAATCCCAAAATGTCGAGATCCTGCAGAATTAAAACTTCGAGTTTTGAAAATCTGAAAACTGTTCTGAATAGCCCTGAAGGTCGAGATTCCTCCTGTATAAGTTTCAAGTCGAAATCGTTTCTGCAGTAGTGAAAAACAAGGGTATCGAGATCTCAATGTAGAGATCTTCAAAACTGAAAAATTGCAGAAATCGAAAAAACGATATGTTGTAGAATCGTTATGAAATGGCGATTCCAACAGTATATTTTTTGCAGATTTTCGTTCACAAACAAGATTACAGGAGCAAATCTCTATATTAAAGAAAAACAGAAGGAAAAAAGAGCAGTTCTTCATTAGATACGAAAAACACAAATAGATTCAACCTTTTTCACGCCTCGGCTCTGATACCAATTATAAAGAGGAAATTTTTAAATGGGTGGTTCCCCAAGGGGGCAGGGATGAGTACTTGGGAAGGGATTATAAAGAGAATAATTCTAAATTATCTAAAACAGGTGAGATGCAAACAATAGTCGGCAAAAACAAGGGCTGATCTGTTACAATCATGATGAACGGTGATGCAAAGGATAGAAAAAAATCGGAGGCAGGAAGGGATGACAAGATAACAAGAAATATGAAGTATTGACGGTACGCCCTCGACTCTTGAACCACCATCTTGGAGCGAGCGCAGAGCCAGGGATCGGAGGCCGACATTTCACGATTGGATTTGGTCATCTGCGCTAATGTGCTCTATTTTTCGATCAAGTTTAAGTTTTGCTATTTCATACGAAGTACTTTTTTATGTGGTTAATAATTGTCAGTTGTGGGTGCTTTTTGTTGTGAGAATGAGTGAAGCAATCAGGCTAATCCAACCGATAATAGATTTGAATCTCTCGCATGTTCAGCGATTAGTCTTGCTCAATATTAGACAGTATATCGTGTCTGATAAGGGAGTAAGAGAATCTATTGGCTATATGATGTCTAGAGGAAAGCTTTGGGTAGATGGTAAACATGATGGATAGTTGTTATTTTTTGAGTTTAATGTAAACATTCTTCTTTTCCAAAACAAATTATGTCATAATTATTATTTTATCAAATTTAAAATAAAAAAGCGTACAAAATTTTGTGAACGAGTTTTAACATTATACAACAGTTAAACAATCATTATTTAATTAACTCGGTTATCATGGATAATTAATCACATAAATATACAAGATCAAATAACATCACACAATAGATCATAATAGGACTTACTTGGAGAATATCCAATATTCATTTGGGAGAGATTTGAGGAAGATGATGTCATTGCTCTAAGGAAATGGATGTGTAATCTCTTATAGGACAAATAATAGATGGAGTATATTTTAGAGAGTTGTGATATTCCCTCCTCTTGATGGTGTTGGTACGTGTGTCTCAACTAAGAGAGAGCAAGGAGTATTTATAATGGGAATAAGCCAAAAGGTAGAACTCTTCATATTTGTCCTAAAGGGAGTTACCACAATGGTACCCCTTAAGTATTATTTCCATCAAATAATACATATATTATATATAATACATAATTATATATAATACATAAATATAGAACACATAAATGTTCTATATGATAGACATTTAAATATGCAAGTAAATCCTTATATACATGAATTTTTCATAAGAGCACTATGCTAATCAAGTAAGGTCTCGACTAAAACTCATTCTCAACACATGTTCTTGAAAAATTTTGGTGGAAGACCTTTTGTCATCGGATCCGCAAGCATATCATGAGTGCTAATGTACTCGATAGAAAGATTGTTTTCTTCAACTCGTTCACGTACAAACAAGAACTTTGTATCGAGATACAATCCAGCCCCGCTCGAACTGTTTCCATTTGAAAAGCTTACGGCGACAGAATTATCACAGAAAATCTTCAACGGTCTTGAAATGGAGTGAACTATTTTGAGTCCCTTAATCAAATTCCTCAATAACATTCCATGACATATCGCGTTATAAACACCAACATATTCAGCCATCATAGTAGAGGTAGTGGTCAATTGTTGTTCATGACTCCTCCATGAAATGGGCCCGCCTGACATCATAAAAATGTATACCGACGTCGATTTTCTATCGTCTTTGCATTTAGCGAAATCAGAGTCGGAATATCCTGTTACTTCTAAATCGTTTGTTGCTCTATAAGTCAGTTTGTAATCTTTAGTCCCCTGAAGATATCGTAAGACTTTCTTAGCAGCCTTCGGCCTTCCAATGATCAAGGCCAGGATTATGCTGATATCGGCCTAACATATCGGATATGTAAGCAATATCGGGACGAGTACAAACTTGAGCATACATCAAACTTCCAACTATGGATGCGTAAGGAATCAACCTCATTTGATCCTTTTCTAATTCCGTTTTTGGACATTGAAATGAGCCAAAAACGTCTCCTTTAACAACTAGAGCGACTGAGGGAGAACAATGTTGCATGTTAAAACGTGTGAGTATACGTTCCACGTATGCCTTTTGAGATAGGCCTAATGTCCTATTGGCCCGATCTCGGTGAATTTCGATGCCTAAAACATAAGAGGCTTCTCCGAGGTCTTTCATGTCAAAATGTCGTGGAAGTAATCGCTTTGACTCATGCAATAAGTCAAGACTATTACTTGCCAATAAGATGTCATCATCGTAAAGAACAAGTATCGCAAAATTGCTCCCACACATTTTGAGGTAGATACACTGACCCACTTTATTTTTATAGAAGTCGTTCTTTTTCATGACTTCATCAAATTTTAGGTACCACTGGCGTGATGCTTGTTTCAGCCCATATATTGACTTCTTAAATTTACATACCAGCTGTTCTTGACCTTTCACTTTAAAACCTTCTGGTTGAGTCATATACACATCTTCATTCAAATCACCATTAAGAAAAGCGGTTTTAACGTTCATTTGATGTAGCTCTAAGTCAAAATGAGCTACTAGGGCCATGACAATCCTTAAAGAATCCTTTCTCGAAACAGGAGAGAAAGTCTCCCTGTAATCAATTCCCTCCTTTTGAGTGTATCCTTTGGCGACCAATCGTGCTTTGAAGTGCTCGACGTTTCCATTTACGTCTAATTTAGTTTTGAAGACCCATTTGCACCCTACCGGTTTTACACCCTTAGGCAATTCAGCAAGTTCCCATACGTCATTCTTACTCATGGAATCAAGCTCGTCAATCATTGCTTCATTCCATTGAGTAGATTGGTCACTACAAATGGTCTCATTATAAGAGTTCGGATCATCATACTTTCCTAGATCAGCCTCATTAAGATAGATTACATAATCATCAAAATTAGTGGGCCGTCTAGATCTTTGCGATCTTCTCAATGGTGGTTCGGGCTCTTGAAGTTCAGTGATAACTTCGGGGATTTGCTCAGCTTGAGGTGTTTCATTATTTTCCTCAAAAGTTGGTGTTTCTTCATTTTGTGGCACATAGGGAGCAACATTATCTTCTAGAGATGAACTTGGCAGGGTGGTATTGTCTACAAGAGGTGCAATAGGTTGAAAAAGTACAGAGAACATTCGACCCTCCTCTTGCACTTCTTGTAAATCAACATCATCGATACACTTGCTCCCACTAATGTTGGAGTTCTCTAAGAACTCAGCATGTCGAGTCTCAACAATGCGAGTAGTGTGAGACGGGAAATAAAATCGATAACCCTTTGAGCGTTCAGGGTATCCTATAAAGGAGCAACTAATGGTTTTCATGTCGAGCTTCCTTTGTTGGGGATTATAAAGCTTAGCTTCAGCCGGGCAGCCCCATACTTTCATATACCTAAGGCTCGGTTTCCTTCCCGTCCAAATTTCACAAGGGGTTTTCAGAACAGATTTAGAAGGAACCCTATTTTATATGAACGGCCGTTTTTAAGGCCTCGGACCATAGAAATTTAGGTAGGCTTGTATTGGCTAACATAATTCGTACCATGTCCATGAGGGTCCTATTCCTTCTCTCAGCAACGCCGTTTTGCTGAGGAGTACCCGACATGGTAAATTGATTCACGATCCCATGTTCCTTACAAAATTCAAAGAAGGGTCCGGGAGCCTGACCTATATAAGTATGTCTACCATAATACTCGCCTCCTCTATCTGATCTCACTACCTTTATCTTACGGTCAAGTTGATTCTCAACCTCGGCCTTAAAGGTTTTGAACATGTCAAGTGCATCAGATTTTTCATTGATTAAGTACAAATACATATATCGCGAATAATCATCTATAAAAGTGACAAATGACTTGTGTCCAGTTATTCCAGCGGGAAAAGGACCATAAATGTCAGTATGAATTAATTCCAGCAAACTGGAACTCCTTGTGGCGCCTCTTTTATTTCCCTTTGCCATTTTACCTTTAAGGCATTTTACACATGTTTCAAAATCACTAAAATCGAGAGATGGTAATATTCCATCCTTCACAATCCTTAGCATTCGATCCCGTGAGATGTGGCCCAAACGTTGATGCCACAACATGGATGAAGTTTCCAAGTCTCGTTTTCTTTTGATTGGATTTTCGTTGATATTATATGATAACAAGGATTTTGAAAAAGTATCATCCAAGCATAATTTATAAAGGGTGTCTTCTAAGCAACCATAACCAACAATATCAGAATCTTTACATATAGCAACCCTACCATTATTAAAAGTTAATACATAACCATTATTGTTTAACTTAGGTACAGATACTAAATTCTGAGTAATGCTCGGTACATACAATGTGTCATATAAATACATGCAGAAGCCACCCTCCAATACTAAAGGTAAGGTACCAACAGCTTCAACATTAATATCTTCACCATTCCCGATTTTAATGGTCCTTTGGTTTCTTTCCAACCTCCGGATTGTATGGAATCCCTGTAAGGCGTTTGTAACATGAACCATGGAACCAGAATCAATCCACAGTGTGTTTATTGGAACACTTATATTAAAGGACTCATAAATCATAAATAGATGTGTACCTTTCTTGGCTAACCATTCCTTGAAATTTGAGCACTCTCCTTGAAAATGCCATTTCTTATGACAAAATTTACAACGAGGAGGAGCCTTGGCATTGGTTGAGCCTGCGACCGCACTTGTACCAATTTTGTGGACCTTTGAGCTTTCACCAGTCTTGAACTTGCCCTTTCTTTTGCTAGTGTTTGTGGTTGTGAGATGGGTGACATCAGACTTTTCCACTTTGAGGCGCTCCTCCGTTTGTACGCACATTGCAATTAACTCACTCATTTTCCATTTTTCCTTTTGAGTGTTATAGTTAATTTTTACAGGACTAAATTGTGCGGGCAAGGAGGTCATTATGAAGTGGACTAAGAAGCCCTCACTGATCTCCATATCCATGCTCTTAAGTTTTTTAGCCATGTCACTCATCATCATAATGTGCTCACGCACACCACTCACACCTTCGTATTTCTTTGTCAACATTTGCAAGATTAATGTACTCGCATGAGCCTTGGAGGTGCCCTTGAATTGCTCCTCTACGGAGTCCAAGTAAGTTTTCACATTTTCCGAATCTGGAATGGCTCCACGAATGGCAATCGAGATGGAATTCTTTATGATCATAAGAGACATGCGATTTGATCTCTCCCACTGTTCATACACTCATTTATGCTCTTGAGTACTTTCAGCAGTGAGTGCAGGGGGAGGATCATGTCTTAGGGTGAAATCAAGATCCATAACTCCAAGGGTCAGTCTCACATTGTCTCTCCATGACGCAAAATTAGTACCAGTTAAAGGTTCAATCCCACAATTTGATGATAAAGTGGCTGTTGGAGATTATAAAATTTAAGTGTATGCAAAAACGATTTGAACAAGAGAAAATTAAAAATTGACAAATTTAACATAAAGTATGTCAGTACATTATCTATTATCAACACCGAAATAATAGATTCTAAGATGTCTTGTTTAATCATTGGTTTTGCTTTGGCTAATTCCAATAATTAAACTTAATGACATTATAATCATTATATTATATTACATAGGCATCCCACATCACCTTTGGGCAGAAATGAGATGTCTATGTTCATAAAGTCAATACTACAATCATATATACCATTAAACAACTAGCCGTTGGGTTCATTGTATAATGTTACATACAATTTGCACAAAGTCTCAAATTAGAGCACGACATTTTATTTTATTTTATTTTATTATAAAATTGATTCGAGAATATTAATGGCGTGCAAAAATTATCCAAATCAACTTAAATGTTTTCCGTTGGGCCGACATTTAAGTTAATAACGTAATGGAATCGAATCAATTTGCATAGAGAATCAAATTATTAAACCCTATTAATTTATCATACGTTCATATCAAGTAATATACTTGGTAATAACAACAATTTTAGATGCATGCAGGCTTAACGATAACATAATTAATAATATACTCCACGTACATAGGAAAACTTCATAATAAATATATTCTTCATACATACAAGTATACCAATTATACTACGTAATGATTTGCAGTTAATTACAATCACATGTTCCATTACGCATTGTATGTTAACAACAATAGTATGCTCTATGAAAGGATAAACCAACTTAGGAATATATAGAACCTACTCACAATAACATGAAAATTGATAACTTACAAATGGACAATCTTAACATCCAATTTTTTTAAGACAGGTCTGATCATGCGTTCACATTCAACGAGGAAAACAAATTTACGTACGAAGTTTACATCATCATCGTTACAAGAAAAAAACACAATTCTTATAACCTCTTTCAGTTTACATGCATCCGAGACAGTTGAGTCATTAAACTGATTTTTGGTGAGTATTCAATGATATGTTTTGATCAGAACATTGCACTAAAATACACAAAATATTTACGTTCCAATTATCATCATTACATGTCAAAAACGAAATAACATACTTCACATGATTATCAATCGCATGAAAGTGCACGTCATTACGGAATAATGAAACAGTTAAATCGAAACTCTTTAGTGGTGATATTATGAAAAAGCTCTGATGCCAAATCATGGATAATTAATCACATAAATATACAAGATCAAATAACATCACACAATAGATCATAATAGGACTTACTTGGAGAATATCCGATATTCATTTGGGAGAGATTTGAGGAAGATGATGTCATTGCTCTAAGGAAATGGATGTGTAATCCCTTATAGGACAAATAATAGATGGAGTATATTTTAGAGAGTTGTGTTATTCCCTCCTCTTCATGGTGTTGGTACGTGTGTCTCAACAAAGGGAGAGTATTTATAATGGGAATAAGCAAAAAGCCATAACTCTTCATATTTGTCCTAAAGGGTGTTACCACAATGGTACCCCTTAAGTATTATTATTACCATCAAATAATGCATATATTATATATAATACATAATTATGTATAATACATAAATATAGACCATATATTAATATTGGTCATTAAACCATATTAATTGGAAATATTCCAACAGGTTAAGCAATCAAACTGACTCAACAAAAAATATTGATAAATTGTTTACCGTATGATTTGCGACAAAAGTGGCATTAACTAATCATAATGTTGTGAGTTCAATCGAGGTGAAACGATAATTCACAGTATATCATATCCCAGAAGCAGTTCAGAAGCATGATGTTAACTTCTTGTGAAAGTGACTAATAATAATATAATTATATTAGTCATTAGTAATGAATAAAATTCGTCTTATTTGGGGCTTGCAATTAATATAATATATTAAAGTCGCTTTCAAAATACAGAAACAAACATGCACGACCGTAATACTCTTTCATACGGAGTATATTTTCAAACAAATATAGCGTGTTTAAGGACATTCAAAATATGCAAATATGCAATGAAGTGTTTAAAGATTACACACAACCGAGATTGACTCGGCCGCGCCCTTCTCAAATCCTCGGACCATTTCAAACAATGATCAAATCCTTATCGCATCAACGCATGAAACTTTTAGGTTAATTAAAAAATGTGCATATATATCCCGTTTAAATAAACTTTTAGGTTAATTAAAAAATGGCAGAGCAGAAAAATGGGTCGAAACTCAATCTATATACGGAGTGAAAAAAAGTAGATCATTTTTAAACAATGTCCAAGTTGAATATTTCATATGCAGTTTAGATAAATAGGCACTCGTAGCAATAAGACAGATTGTCTTTGCTCTGTTTCTGAGTCGTGTTACGTAAGTATTGAGTGAATTATACCCTATTTTTAAAATTTGGGAAAATAATCTATAGTATGCATCAAATTTTGCTGATTTCACGATTTTCCAGAAGTCATAACATTTTACTCGTAATGAGTTACTGGAGTCATAATATATCAAATCGGAGATATTTTAGAACTCTATACTCTCAAACTTTCAGCAGAATCGGGTGACCACCCTGAAATCCCTTGGCTCCGCCCCTCTATATATCATCATATCCTCAAGGGTGTCTTGAATTGACCAACATAGAGCGATGGGTAAATTATTGTTGAATCACACATTGAGCGAATAAAGTGTGTGGTCTATTTTAATTATAAAAAAAGTAACTGAAAGGAATTGATAGAGATGTGATAAAACGGGAGAATAATGTGCCCATCAGCCCACTAAGGTTTGAGCCAAAGAGCTATTTGGACACTTCGGAGCAAAATAACCTCAATTTGATCTTTTTTGGGCATATTACCCACTCAGTTCTAACACCATTAGTTTTGAGCCCGTTTAGTGAACCTTTTTTCGGCTTATCATCCAATTTTTTCATCAAAAATATAACTTTTAATTTCGCGGACTGAATTCTCAGTAATAATAACATTTTAGTTATTTTTCATATATATCTTTTTATTTATTTTATTAATAAAATACATTTTAAATATAATATATACATTTTTTCCCGCCATTTTTGTAAAAAATAGGACAGTAACTAATCATAACATTTTAGATAATAAAATGAATTTTATTAAATGCATTTTAGTTATTAATTTATCTTGTTTTTCATACATTTTAAATGCATATTAAGCTGTAATTTTTTTCATTTTTTCCTATTAGTTATCTCTTTAATCGAATATCCGCTCATTTATCTAAAAAATATAAACTATTATATGTCCCTCACGCCTATGGCTAGGGAAAGGTACCGAAACTTGAGAGAATGACCAAACAGGGTATTTTTTTTGCAGGTGTTTCCAAAGGATGTAAAACAGTATTACACAGCTTCTCTTTCTGACAGTGGGACTCCTACTTTTTAAAATTCAAAAAATAATTTGACCTTTGCTCTTATTGTCCGTATTGCATTTCTCATACCAAATTAAAATATACGGAGTATTCAAAATGAAAAATACCAAATTATATGATCTCGTTTGAGTACCATATTTTTTGGCTTATCAGGTTTGTCAGTCAATTTTTTAAATCAAACACGTAAATTTTGATTTCGCCCATTGACTTAAATTATTATAAATGATCATTTTAATTGTTATTTCATAGTCATAATTTTTTCTCTTTTATTAATAAAATATATTTTACATATAATTTGTACATAAATCAATAAAATCAACCAATCCAGCTACTTTAGTCAAGATTTCATAAATTTCACCAGAATCAGCCAATACAGCCGATTTGGGTGTTACCAAACGGGCTCTAAATAATGTTTTTCTCATCTCCTAAAAACACAATCGAAAAATACACCAATGATGTTTTTACTTGGACTGTAATTTGATAGTCTGCTATTGCCTGATTTTTTTTATATTTTTTCCATAAAGATTTTATTTTTTATAAATATTATAATCCATAAATAATTATATTTTATTTATTTATAATTAAAAATAGTAATATTCTTTCCAAATTATCGAAAATTGTTATCGTTTTACTTGGACAGATTTCACTGAAGCAGAACGGACTCGATGATACAAATACAGAACCCAAATGTCCATAAAAATGAAATATGTAATTATTTTTTAATGATAAAATAAATATGTTATTATTTGTAATGCGTTATGCTTCTTTTACAAAATGGTGAGTACTACTTATTACTATCTCCATCCCAAATCCATTTGCAAAATTGATTTTTCGTGATCAAACAACTTCATTTTATTTAGTTAATTATGATGTGAATTTTTAATTATAATCCAATTTGGAGTTTGCAACTTTATTTGAAGATATTTTAATGTACTTTCCAAATATCTAAATTTTAATTATTAAAAATTGAAGCAATTATCAGTATAGAGGATTTAACTTTAAAAAGACAAGATCGTAAAGCCCAAAAACTCCAAAAGTTGAAAATTGTTGAATTGATAAAAAATAATTTAGAGCCACATAAATTTATCAAATTTGATACGAAGTACTACCTCCGTTCTTAAATAAATGCAACACTTTGACTTTTACATTATTCACATGTTCTAGTTTGACTACGTTTTATTTATTAATGTAATAATATTACGGAGTATTTTATGAAAAAAATATTGTTAAACTCTTCTCATCGTAAATTTTCATAATCTATTTTTTTTAATTTTTTACTAATACAAAATCATTTATATTATGACGGAGTAACTATTAGTAATACGGAATATATTTCAATGACTAATTTTATTGGCACTATAACATACTACGAATAAAAAAAATCATAAAATGGCTTAGGCTACCTACACGTAGCTCAAACTTGTCAGATATGGATCTGACAATACTATTTTACACTTTTTGGAATGCATTACACAAAACTTACACTTTTATGTCAAAAACCCCTGAAACTTTGATATTGCATTTACTATATCAAAATAAACCAATTAATAAAAAAAAGGATGACACCCCATCCCTGAGGGGCCCCAACCCCGATCGGACAAAATAAACCAATTTATCATGTTTTTTGTTTGTCGACATCTCCAGTACGGTATCAGTATATATTTTGACAATAATATGATATATTGTTAAACGGAAAGTACAATTCATTAATTTCTTTAAAGTTATAAAAATGACTAGAAACACACAACATCACCTAAAACATAATAAATTTATATTCATATTGTTTGAATTATTTCTACTTTTTTATCTAAGATCATCATTGCTTTATATATTTACATCTATGTACATATTGTTTAAGTTATTTATAGGAAAATATATTGTTTTTACTATAGTGCTACATTGAAATACTAAAATATAAATATAATTAACAGAATTTTGACTTTGCACCTCATGGTTTAGATGATACGTAGTATTAGGTTAATAATAGGTCACTTTGCAGTCTTTGCACCAAAATGGGGGTGCAAAGTCAAATTATCCTCTATATGTAATTATTCTAGTTCAAAACTCAATAGGTTAATAATAGGTCAGTGTTAGTGTTTTGGATTTTTTATTAATGGTTTTAGTAGATCACTATTAAAGTTGATTTTGTATACTTCATTTGGCTAGACTAATTTGCCATATTGAAATTTCAGTATGACATATTTTTTAATCAATATTATATATTTACCACACTGCATTTTTTGAGCATAACATAATACGATACACCAATATTTTGATACAATAATAATATACTATTATTTTATATATATTGAAAGTTTTGGTACAATAGAAGTATGAGATGAAGTACTCAATATGTTGTACCGAATCACCAAAATTTATACTACCTTCATCCCAAATTAATTTACAAAATCAACATTTTTGTTCAAATAGATTCAAGTTATTCAATTAATTAGGATATCAATTTTTAATTATATTTAATTTTAATTTGGATTTGGAGACTGTGTAGAGATTTTAATGTATTTTAAGAATATATAAATCTTAATTATTATAATTGAATTAATTATCAATTGAGAGGATTCAGTTTTAACATTAGTAGACAAAAATTGATTTTACAAATCAATTTTGAGATGGATGGAGTATATATTTTTATATATTTCTAAAAGGAGGCGTGTATATTTTTATATACATTCTTTTTTACTTAATACACCGAACCACCCTAGTGGCGCCCACCCAAATTCGTCACTTTCTTGGTGGTCGTAAATACTTGCACCAATGCACCAATGCACCAATCACAAGAATACGTAAGATTTTAGGTAAATAAATTTAATGGGGTGGGGAAGGCCCAACCAATATGCCTGAACTACACGCCATCATGAATCCTCCGTGGACTGCACGCAATTCATTTTGCACGTGATTAACCCTAGAATGCTTGATTATCCATCCTCAGAGCATCTCCATTCATGATCTCTAATTATAAAATAATCTTAAAATTCGTTTATGTCTCT